AAACATTGGAAATTCTGGCCTAGAAAAGATACCTGTTTGTTCAGAGTCCACAGAGAGGGCTTGGGTCCAGTGGATTGGAAACACAGGGAGACAGATTCCAGCTTAAAATAAGGAAAAACTTTAATGGCCAAATCTAGTCAGGGTTGAAATGAGCTATGTTCAGGACCGGGGAGTTCCCTGTCACTGGCAGTGCTCTGAACCAGTGTAGACACCCACTTGGCCATGTTTTGGAACAAAAGGCTTAAGCACCCAACTGGTGATTGGAACGATGGACTTTTAACAAAACCTAAACGTCTATGTCTCCAATTAGACTCTTCCTCCAGATCATCATAACATACCTACAGAACTCTCTCAGCACTAACGGAGGTATTCTTGAAGTTCCTATTCATTCTGGATAGTTAACCAGCTTTTACCTGAAGGTAAAACAAACAAACAAAAAACCTAAGAGGGTAACTTGGAAAGTATTAGAACATCTAGTACAAATATACTGCAGTGAATCAGAAACAAGGGAAGTAAGAGATGGGACCCTCTTTCTCGTCCTCTGTTCTCTTACCTCCCTGATGTCTAAGGATTCCCGCACTTGTCCATATGTTGGCAGACACGCCTAAGTAGTGCTTAGGAGCCCAAGCTTTGGAAGCAGACAGACCTGAATGCCTATTCAAGCTCTGCTACATACTAGCTATGTGACACTGAACAAGGGGCATTGCCTCTCTGAGCCTCACATCCCTCACCTGTAGTGAAGATAAATTTTATTTCATGCAGGTTAGAGATGATGACATAAAGCATTTATCACAATGCCTAGAACAAAATAAAGGGTAGTAATCATTCAACATCTACTGAGAGTTATCTATGTCAGTCACTGTGCAAGTGTATCAAGAGATGCTGCCTAACTCTAAAAGAATATGATAGCCGTGAACCCCAAAGGCACCACTGCTAATTGGGACCATAAATTGTAACTTCAATGGATGTGGGAGATTTGTAATCTAAGTGACCTCTAGACCAGCTTTCGTCTACATTTTGTAGATCAGTGCCTTAAAAGGAACAGAAATACCTCCATTAAAAGCCTCCCTCCCCAAATATGTATATACATACACATCATCTTCCTTCACACTGAGTGCTATGTACCCTCTTGGCAAATGAGAGCAAGGGTCCTGGCCTGTCCTCGGAACTTTCATTCATTTAGTGTTAGTATACCATATTGCAAAACCTCTTGGACACTGAGCATTCTCAGTTCCATTCAGAGATGAGTGTGCTCAGCAGAGTGGACTATTTACTGCTGTCACCTCTTTTTCTCCATTAATTTTTGACTCTGGAAAATAGCTCTGGACTATAATGGCTAACAAAAGTATGCCAGTGCCATACCGGGAACTAGACAAAAACCAGAAGACTTTAAAATGCAAATTCTACATGGCTTGAGGCATTGTCATGTTAATGGTGGTGAAAGAGTGGGCAGAGATCAGCAGGCAAATGGGAATTGGTGGGAGTCCTCTCAGGGTTAAGGCAGCTCAGGAGGCTGGATCAACAATTGCAGTAACCATGGTTGGAGGAAAAAGCTATGCCTGAAGGCATGGCCTGACTTCAGGGATCTGAAGAGTAGGGAAGAGCAATTTTCAATGATGCATGACTGCCCTTTGTCCCTAAGGGCTACTCAATAGTGGGTCCCTATGGTGCTGATCCCACTGGTTCATTCCCTGGAACCAGTCTCCAACACTAAAAGAATTGAGTGTGTATGTGTTAGGTTAGGATGACCAGTCTTCTTTGAGCAAGAAAAATTTATATAACACCTTCCAGCCCTCAAAATGATCTATACAATAGCCATGCAGTTTTATTAATATTTTAATTTGAAAATGAGACAGTTTTTAAACTGAGACTTAAAGCATTAAAGTCACAGAACTAATAAATGAGTAGAGCCTGGTTTTCAGAGCAGCTCTTCTGATCCCAATTCCATTACTTCTTTCTCCAAACAACAGCCAATTTTCTGAATAGGACTATTCCCACCAGCAAATGCTGCTATAAATAGGACAAGCCATCCACAAGGTGAATAATCATCTCTGAATTATCAATTCACATTTCATAAGCCTTTTTCGTTGTTGTTCATTAAAGAATACCCTATACAGTGAATCCCAGGTGGACAGCTTTCAGAGCTAGAAGAAAAACCTAGGAGACACCTGTCCTTCATTGAAGAAACTGAGACTCAGAAAGGTCAAGAGGCATGGCAGGTTGCACCCAGGAAGTCATGACAGAGCTGGATATAGACTCAGATACTGTATGAGCTGCCGGGCAATATCCTTTACATTTTATGACACTACCAGAAAGCCTTCAAACAAACAAACAAAAAACTTTCCTATGCTTAAGAAACCTCAGCATTCATGTGGGGAGGTTTTCCTGATCATCCTCAACTAGGCCTCTGACACTATGGCCTCTGGTTTCCATCTGATTTCTTTCTTTTTTTTTTTTTTTTGAGGAAGATTAGCCCTGAGCTAACATCTGCTGCCAGTCCTCCTCTTTTTGCTGAGGAAGGTTGGCCCTGAGCTAACATCCGTGCCCATCTTCCTCTACTTTATATGTGGGACGCCTAGCACAGCATGGCTTAATGAGCGGTGCCACGTCCACACCTGGGATCCGAACAGGCGAACCCCGGGCCGCTGAAGCAGAACGTGCACACTTAACCTATGCACCACCAGGCAGGCCCCCATCTAATTTCTTTATAGCTCTTGTCCTGGGTGGGAAAGGACAGCAGTATGCACAATAGGGATTTGGGTTTCAGGGGAGTGGTTGTCACATTTCAATTATCTTATTGATTACCAAGCAACCTTACTATTGCTGATTAACCTTGCATATGTTTGAAGAAATATTTTAGGCAATGAAATAGTTTGGCTTTTTGGAATTATTAGAGTATGAGTGGAAAAATAATACACAAGTTATTTAAGAATTGTTTCAACTAATAACCACTATACCCTTTCTCAGGCTAATTTTAACCAGACGTTTGGCTTCAACTTTGACCTGTATGCTAATGACTCCCAAATCTCTAACCTCAATTCTCATGTTAATTACAAACCTAAGGCCTGGATATTCATCTATCTATTGGGCATTTCTACTTGAAGCTTCCATTGATCTTTTTAAAACAGAACCCATAACCTTTCCTCCCTAACTGGCTCTTATATCCCCTCCTGGAATTACCTCAGGGACCGGACCATACCTTCTCTCAAGCACCACATCCAGAACTGGCCCTTTATTCTTCCTTTGCCTCATCTTCCATTTACAGGGAGTCACCAAGCTCTTTCATATTTTTTTCTACATATTTCTATAATGTCACTTCTCCATTCACAGTGCCCTGTTCTTAGTTCAGGTAGGTCACCTCATCTGGATCACTGCAACATATCCTCCTCCAAGTTCTCCTGCCTTAGACTCACCTTCCTTCACTCCATCTGCCACACCACTGTCAGAAATGGGTTTTCTAAGTGGAAGTCTGATTACACCACTGCTCGGAAGAGTCTCTCCAGCATCACAGCTTGACATATAAAATTCATCTTGACCTGACCCCTGCCTACCTCTGCAGCTTCACTCATCACCATCCTCCCATACCTATCTGTTGCTTGTCACTCCCCCACAACACTTGCAGCTTCCATGCTCTATATGTGCCTACATGTCTTCACACATCCTATTTTCTCTCCTCCAATGGCCTTGCCTCTTACTTCCCCGGCTGACTTCCACGTATCTTTCAGGACTTGCCTAGTTCATGACTTTCACTTGGCAAGCATCAGCAAGCAGAGGATATCTTTCATCTTCTACAAAATTTCCTCTAGTAAAGCTTTTGTTGCTTTGTTTTTCTGTTGTTAAAGTATGGACTCTAGTTGAAAAAAGGCTTTAGATTTTAGAATTCCAATTCTAAAAATTGTTGTAAAGCCAAAAAGGCCAGTGAGTGTGTACAGGGCAGTGAGTAGGCAGGGCGGTATCCTTACAGTCTACATCCTCTATATCTGAACCCACCTCAGGAAGGGCTCACAAGAGGAATAAGAGCAACTGCTTCTATAGGGTATGAATATCCATGCCCAGCTCAGCCCAGGTTCCCTCTTGTGTAGTCTAAAGGCTCTGGAAAGAAACATTTCTTCTTTATAAGGCAATTACTCTAATCTTTTTCTACACAGCCTTAACACCTAATTAGAGGCTCTTTATTAAGCTTTACCTCAAACTATTTTTAGCTGAAAAAATCCATCACTTCAGATAAGAACTGCTCATGGAACCCTTCTCTGAAGCCCTCTTGCCCAACTGAACTAAGCTTAACAACTTTCCCGACTAGAACAAAAATGAAAACCTGAGAATAGAGTAGATCATCCTTGTCTATTCAAGATATCAATACAGCCCGGGGTAAGGGTACACATCCTACCATCAGCAGCAATATTTGCTTGCTATTTGGCATACTTAAGAGGCACAGGCATGTAGGCTCTTTTGGTCACTTGCAAAAGGAATTAAATCAATTTGTGATAGTGACCAAAAATAAAATCAGAAATGTAAAGTCCTCTGAGATTAATGTAAAGGAAAGCACCTCACAGCAGGTCATAACTTATAGCTTAAGATTTAAAAAATGGAGAGGAGGCTGCAAAATACTAAGACTTCTCCAGAAAATCTCAGAAATAAAGATCCACAAGGAAAAAGCAAATATGAAGTTCTTTTCCTAGTTCAGGATGGGGGCCCTTGATGATTTGGCCTCTGTCTATTGATGACCATAGTAACAGAGTTGTAACTAGATACTCAGCCTCCCTTGCAGTTGGGTATGGCCATGTGACTACATTCTCATGGGAATGGGAGAAGAAGTGATGAGCACCACTTCCAATTCTGGGCCTTAAGATACTGGGTATGGACTCTTCCATACCTTTGCCTTCTTTCAAGCTATATCGAAGGAACTACAAACCAGCTTCGACCAAGCCAACAAGAATACTGCTGATGGTAAAGCAACAAAATAGAAGGACCCTGGGACCCTGAATGATCATGTGGAGCAGAGCCAGCCCCTCAACTGGGCCCCTCACCTTGGGCTATTGAATGAAAGAGAAATAAACTTCAAAGTTCTTGGAGCTACTGTATTTTATAGTCTCTTTGTTACAACCTATTAGCTTTTACTAACAATAACACCTATCCAGTTTTTCTACTCCTCCTCAGCCTTCACAAGCTAGCCCTCCTGTGGGTCTTTCTGAGACACCCACAGCATATCTACCTGCTTTTGAGTCATCATAGTCTTCCATTCTCATACCTGTTACAACTCGCATCACAGCTCATTTCAGCAGTTTGTTAACCCTTCTGCCTCCCCTAAAGAACTAATTCTGAGAATTCTGAAGGCAAGAATTCATTATATGCTCTGTTTTGCACAATGCTTGGCACAAGTTTGTGGTATAAGGACTCCTAAATGAATAAATCAACTTTGAAAGCACACAGACTTTCCTAGATTGAAAGAAAAGAACAGTTGTTGATATACACATTTGCCAGCTCACACTCAGCAGTAGTAATTATGCTACTAAGCATCAGAAGAAATGCTCAAGTCTCCCAAGGGACACGGCCTTTCTAATAGAAATATGACTAAAATATAATGTTTGCCTCATCTAAAAACCAAGGTTCAAATATACATGAGTAATGAAGATTTAAAAATAACTATAGGGACTGGCCTGGTGGCGTAGTAGTTAAGTCCATATGCTCTGCTCCAGTGGCCTGGGGTTCACAGGTTCGGATCCCAGGTGCAGACCCACACACCGCTCATCAAGCTGTAGCAGCATCCCACATAGAAAATAGAGGAAGACTGGCAGAGATGTTAGCTCAGGGCCAATCTTCCTCACCAAAAAAATAAATAAATAACTACAATTAAATGGATAAAAGAAATGGCAAAAAATAACCTTTGATAAACTACATTAGTGACAGATTTAATTTTGATTGTTTTTGTTATTAAAATTAATATGATTATTCATGATAATGAGTTATAGTAGCTTTGGCCTCCTCCAATCAATTACCTTTTCAGTTTTTGAAATAAATAGCAAAAATAAGTAATATGAACTTTATCTCTATTTGAATTCTGGCATGAATGCCAATGATACCAATATTGGTTTGATCCAAGCACTACACTGGATTTCACTGTCTATGATAAAATATTGATAAAAGTCAAATACAAAAAATATATGTTTGCAGACATATGAGAGAAAGGAAATTGAGGATAAGACAATGTGACTAAATACTATGAAGTACAATATTGCGAGATGATCGTTTGCATATGTAAATATTTTTATCTGAATATTCTGTGCCTTATAGAGAAATATTTGTGGAGTTTTTTTTTCACTTCCATCAGTCTATTTTATTGTGGCATAACAACATATTTTCAAATCTGAACTGTTCTGAAATTAGCTGGAATCGGATCTTTAAAATTAGCTCATATTTAATGATCATATGCTGTATTGTGCTTTTTCGCCCCCCGAACTCCCGTAAGAGTTAACAGCCTTTGTCGTGTTGCTCTTTCTGTCTTAGGAAGAGAAGTAAACAGGTAAAATCACAAGCAATCCTGACACATGTATTCTATTCATTATAACAATTAAATTTACAGAGTTAGGGAAACGCTCTGGAGAATCTGCTTCCTCAAGTTTGATTTGGGTCGAAGCCAAAACATTTCAGCTTTGGTACTCAGGAGTATTATTTAGAAGATAAATTGCCTGATATCAGATTTTGGAAAAGGTAGAATTACCATCAAGTCTTGTTACACAACAATTCATTGGAGGGAACGTACCCTGTATTATTCAGTTTTGCTTATCATAAAAAAGGATTACTACTAAGGAGAATCTAATTGGAATAAAGTATCGCTGAATTATAGTCTAGTGTAGCATTTCAATAATAAATAGACCACCTCCTTCTCCTGAAAAAAAAGAACTTTTGAGGTTTAAAAAAAAAGATACTTTTGTACCACTGGGTATAGAACATATATTTAGAAATGTATTCTTATCATAAATCCTTTAACACTAAAGTAGCCTGTACCAACTAACAGCAGAGCTTCAGTATTGATCTTCCACTTCTTTTGAATGACAAAAATGGTTTCAACTTTCAGTGTGGCAATTTCTCAAAAATAAATTTGAGTGGAGGAGATTACATTCAACTAAAACTACATTATGAAGCAGCAGCAGCAAGGTAATATAAAGTACTTTTCTTCGGTATATTTGAGATCTGTACATATTTTTCAGTTTCTTTCAAGGTCTTGATTCAACAAGATTTATTAGTACTGTCTTCTTCAAAGGAAAAAAATGGCTCTGTATTAAAGTTTGTATTTTTCTGTCTCTAGAACCCACATTTCTGTACTCAACTGTCTCAAAATAACCACTGTGAATAAAAGGCTTTTCTTAAACTTGGTTAAGCTGAATTACCACTGAATTTTAGCCAAGTTTACTCTTTTCATGGAAAAGCTCTTAACAGGAATAGCAGAACTTCAAATTGGGATTTTAAAATTGAAACGCTAAAGTGTGATCAAGGATAATA